AAAAAAAAAAGGTTGCTTGATGTGATTCGTGGGGCCTACTTAAAAGCCAAGCCTGCACAGGGAAAGCATCCAAAAGAAACATCATGAGCCCATTTCAGGCCCAGCACAGCCTTCATCATGAGATCCAGCCGAAATGCCGATTCATATCAATTCAAGCACAAAAATTGAGCATTAAACAAATAGGGATTGGTGCATGCTTTTAATCATTACAGGGAAAAGCAAAAGCAAACATTGTCACCCTTCACTAGATAATTAAAATGTTGACCGACTAATTATGAATTATGTGAACAAGTTTCAGCACAATTATAACATGAGTGGAGTTTGTGACTAAATGTGAACTTAAATGTTTTTCAGTGCCATTTTTCGGAAGAATGCTTATCACCATTAATTATTTCTATTTCTCTAATCATTACAATTCTAGTGAGCGGAGAAAAAAAAGACTTTTCACACAAATTTAACATGTTTATCTTATTAAGTTAGTGTTCTGAATGGATTACAAGTGCATATTGTCCAAAATCGATAATTAAACACCATAACATAAAAATAATAGCCCAAACTCTTGTATTTGTTAATTGAATTTGAATGGTACCTATTAAATTTTTATCTTTTATAAAGTATTTAAAAGAGTTTATCATAATAATAAAGATATACTATTTGAAAATGTTTCTACTTTATTCAAGCATAAATAAATTTGTATTTTTTTTATTTCATTTAATTAAATTTTTATATTTTTATTTTAAATTATATAAATTTTATAATTAATGGTTCAATTAATGAAAATATCACTTGTTCTAAAAGATAAAAAAATACCACATATCATGTTATTTTATCATATAATAATATATCATGTCATTATTTATTATAATATGTTAACATATTATGTTAATACTAAATGATATAAAATAACAAATAATATATGATATTTTGATTAATAACTATTAATCAATTATTAATTATAATAATTTATTTAATTTAAAGTAAAAAATATAAACATTTGATTGATTATAATAAAAAAGTAAATTTTATTTGAATTTTTTTAAATAATTAAAAAATTTTTGTAAATATTATATCTAAAATAAAATACAGTTTTTTAATTTCGTAAAATCAAACATGGTATAAGTCAAAAAGAAAAAGAAAGCAATAGCAATTTATGAGCATGAACCTAGAGCTTTAAACTCTTACCTTTTTCGGGCGAAAGGCAGTAGCAGTCAACTTAAATAGTACAATTTAACTTCTTCCTAACAAATTGAAATATGAAAGGAAAGGGAATCAAGTTGCTCCGTTCTGCTTCACACTAAATATTTAATTTATTAATTAATGTATCATTGTCTTACTTTAAAAAGTATCAATTTAAATTTTTCTTATTTAAAAAAAAGTAATATTATATAATTATTTCCCATACTTTATCAAAATAGTAGACTTAATCTCTATATAGTAATTTATAAAAATTAAGTTTTTATTTTTTTAAAATTGATAATATTAATCTAATATATTAAAATTTTTTATTATTCATATTAATATAACATTTGATTATATTGATATGATATAATAATAGTATTAATATGACGTGACCAAACTCTAATATGAAATGTATAAATACAAACTTCAAGTTATCTAATGTGAGCTAATGATTTTAAACAAAACTGTAAAAGAAACATATTTAAAATATTAATAAATTTATGAAATTTAGGAAAAAAATGTTATGAGATAAAAAAATAAGAATTTTTATACTCTTTAATTTAAAACAATAATAAATATTATGAAATAAATAAAAAATGTAAAATCATCATTAACACATCATATTTAATGCCATATCATTCAAAAATATTATATCAACATAAATAATTAAAAAAATTTAATACAGTTAATGATTAGATTAATATTATTAATTTTAACAATATAAAAATTTATTTTTTATAAATTATTATATAAAAATTAAATCTACTACTTTGATAACGTATAAAGACTAATTCATAATTTAACTAAAAAAAAATTAAACTTAGGGCTTTTTCCACACGACAGTTGATTAAAAAATAAATTTTCTTGAAGCCACTTCGGGATTTCAGGGCCCACCAGCGATTTCTTCGTACCACCCTCTACCCCTCTTTAGCCATTTCCACAACCAAAATATCGTTTTTCACATCTAAAGAGACTAGCAACAGTAATGTAGACAAGACTCAAGGAAGTTTGCGTAAGAAATTCAAACGCTGCATTGGGTAAAGACGAAAAGATCCCAGTTTGGGCTTGCTTGATTCCCAGACATAAATCCATGGTTGCTAAGCGCATTTCCAGGTCTTTTCCAAGCAAATTACAGAGAAAAAGAGAGACGCAAACAGTCCTCACGGCTCTGGGGATGAGAAGGGGGACCATGGAAAAGACCTTCCTGTCTATTGTTGTGAGCTTTAATAATAGAAATAGCAAAGGACCCAGCAAAAGAGAAAACCGGTGCTTTTAGCCTTCGTGTATTTTCTGTAGAGCTTATGCAATTGTTTGTTAATTTAATTCTCACTAGGAAGCAAACAATGAAATCTGGTGACTATTTAATCTAAAGGAAAGAACAAAGCCAGTTGCATTGAAGGGAAACCTAAAATCTATTGCCCTGAGGTTTTGGGAAGAAATTGAACTTTCAATTGTCCTCTTGGTACACGTTTTGCTCAAAATTTATTGCTTCCATTCTCACACGTATTCTTCATTAACAAAGAGACTTGACATTTAATGCGAGCTTCTTCTAAGGTCCTCCAGTGGAAGACCTTGTCAGAATTTTTGATCAATTATAACTTACAGGAGAGCAGTGACACTGCCCGAGACTATAACAAAATAATTAAGACTTTCTCAATCTCCTTTATTTTCTTTTTTCAATTTATTATTATCGCATGATTTAAATTATTTAGAGTGATTTTGTTTTCTTATATTGTTTAATTTCTTCAACACAAATATCAAGCACAGGAACTACTTAAGATTTTACCTTCGTAACCATAATAATTAACAATTTGCATTGAAAAAACTAAAAGACCTTCTAAAATAGAATCACCCAACTCTTACTAAGAAATTCTATCATGAGAATAATGTTTTCATGAAGTTTATTAAATCAGTAAAGTTGCTTGAGAGACTACAATTCTATATAACTTCCTAATAATGTCTGGCCCAATAATTAAATTCTATGCATCTTGAATTTTCTTGCTACTATAGGTAGACACTCACCTAAGCAGCAAAGCCTTTCTAAAAGAGCAAGATATAGAAGCTAAGTGAATGGAAAGCGTTTTGCGAGCATTGCAAGCCTCACAAGGGCCAAAGAATATGCTCCCGTTTGGTCCTCATTCGCTTCAGTAGCTTTGCTTTGCTTTCTAAGCCTGACGTTTCTATATTCTGTTTGTGATGTTGAATTGTTGACAATGATATCATACTCTATAATTTTATGATCAGCAATCCTCAAATACATGAATGATTGTTTTGGCATGGCAAAGTACTAACCAGAAACATGCAACTGGCTGCTTCACATTGGGACAGTGCTCCGACAAGCAAGTTTGTACGACGTTGCAACTCATAAATGTTGATCCATACTTGCAACCAGACCTACATGCACTGCAAACTCCCCCGATTCGTTCTCTAGAATTTGAAAATGCCAAGACTAGAATACAAAATACAATTATCCACTAACTTTAATCTCATACTAAAAATAATTTTTCTATGAAGAAGAAACAATAGTTATGTAAAGAGTAGCGTTACATGCATTCTAAGAACTCAGGAGTCAATATTTTCGCTTGTCCCTAGTCACCATCCATATCATTGAGCACGCAACTGGTGATTAAGGACCAAAGGGAGGGATAAACTGTTGGAAATGCACATAGCACTTTTATGGCCATAAATGGCCATTAGATCTGTTCTTTCTTCCCCTTCCGGTGGGCGACAGGCTGAAAGTCATGAACTAGACCTAGCAGCTGTATCAAACTAAGCTGTTTTAGCGCTGTTTCCTTAATAGTTCAGGGACAAGATACCTTCCCTCAAAAAAGGGTAACAAAAAGGCAGAGCCGGGCCATTGAGGGATGAGAACAGCGGAAGCCCTGGACCATAGCCAACTGAATGTGCTGTTGCAGCAGAACGGCATCTTAGGAGGCCCAAATGGCCTACATTTATATAACCCAAGACGGCAGGGCCCGTAAAAGAAGAACGTACACAAACGTGGAAAAAGTCGCGAAAAACTGCTGCCAGTTGGGTTTATCATGGTTTTGATGACAATACAAGAGTACTGTCTCTCAACCTCCTCGCAATAATTCATTCAATATCTTATCCAACTTATCCAGGCCACAGACCCATTATCCATATCACCTGAGAAGTCCTCAATTCCTTGCTAGCTTTTAACATAGACTAATATGCATGCACACTATTGATTGGTTCATGAACCCTAGTGCCCTACGAGTGTATGCTGTTCTACCCTCTGCAAAGCAAAAATCAATGAAAGATCCTTTGCTCCCTCGATCAGATTCAGTTGTTATTAACATTTTCCTAAATGGCTAAACCATCTGTTCTTTTGTTCAAAGATTCCCTAAAAGGTCTTATTCTAGCAGATGTAGACTAGGCAAAAGCGGTGAATTTACTTTCATTAATTTCACTGCCAAAGGTTAAACTTTACTGCTTGATTGCCCAATTAACAATTAATATTAGAATCCAAGTCGTCAGCCACTAATATACCTACAGGTTGAATTTCGATACAGGTCTGTGCAAACATCATCTATTCTTTGAATGTGGAATCTAACCATAAAGGAAATAGAAAGGCTATCCAGGCATCTTCTTTTGACATATTCTGTCACTTGTTTTGGTAAAGTATATAGCAACCGTGAAATTAGAACAATCTCTACCAAAGGGAAAAATGGGAATCCATCGTGATAAGGATTCCAAATCTTAAGTGCATATTCGCTCCTCATTTACTCAAGCCACTGTCATCCAATGATTAGCCCCCAAAACTAAGCTTCTATTATTCTTTGACGCCAACTAGCCAACATATTAACAATTACCCATGAAAACTACATTTGCACAACGATAGCTTCCTGAACCTCCTTGCCACTTGCCAATATGAAAGGAAGCATGGGTTAAGTGAGAGTCGAAAAGATCAAATTGACAGCAGGGCAGCCAGAGTTGGATGGTGAGGAATTATAGCCAACTACTCATGTTAACATATGAGCGAAGTAAAGACAATTATTCAGTGAACGTATATCAACTTATAATATTAATTCAGAATAGAAAGCATATAGCAACAACAGGATACAAAAACTGATAAAATTTTCCGTACCTCCTTTCTTTAGTCCGGAAGCAAGTTCTGCATTCTAGCAGTGAAACATACACATGATCACAGTTCCACTTGCAAAAGGCTAGTCCATCTAGCCACTTGCGCAGTCGGTAAGCAAGGTTCTGGGTATCTGCCAAGATATTATCTTCAGTAGAGAATCTATATGCCTCACATTCCGAGCAGTAATTTACCTTTTAGTAAGAATTCAATCCATATCTTGGTTAGAATAAAAGCAAGTGGAAGAATCAACAGTCACAATCTGTGTGCCATAGAGGGGAAAAAATTAAAAAAGCAGCAAATGATAAGATTCATCAGCAAGAAGATCTTCCAAGATTTGGTAGCGGCCCAGTCGGATGCCCATTGACAAACTACATAAATTCTTATCACTATTGACTTTGATTATTTAATGTATTACATGAAGTATGCAGAACTAAAATCTGCACAGGTACAAAAAATAAACAAAAGAATGGACCTCAAAACTGAACTGACTTATTAGCAATGCCTTTGATCCCTCTCGGTGGCCTAGTCCTGGCTTTAAGGTAGCAGAGTTTGAGTGTTACTAACATAACCTCATGCCAGTTCACTTCATCATCATTAAGACCTCTTCTTCCCTCCAACATCAGATAATCACCTTCTTATCCTGGTGCATTGACGGTGATCACTTTGGCAACAACAAGATAAAACAGACAGGTACATGTTAAAGAACTTGACACAATCAGACTCGAGTGATTTCTCTCTATCAAGCTTGCCACAGGACATTGTGCAGAACACGAATGCATGCCCGAAAGATACAGAGCCGTCGTCAACATCTGTTATAAAGTTGATCTGCCTGAAAGTGTGCTAGTTGTCATTTATAACTATGGTGCTCCGAAGTTGGAAGCAACTCTTATCCAAGTATATTTGACAACAAAAACGACTTGATTAATTCGTGTTTTAGAGCTATTTTCTGCTGCTTCCACGGTCATAACAGGTATCCTGGAAGCCATCGTTCCACTGGCCGGTGATGGCCCTATGGCCCTATTTCTCTTCTAATTTTAAGAGAGGACTGCATACTTTTTGCCTTAATTCCTATGGTGCAACTCAATGAGCAGTTAAGAGATTCCCTTAACTGAGAGCTGATCAGAAAGATTATATGTACTTTGAAATTACTCAATTAATTAACACATTAAACAAATTGTGACTTTGTTGTCTAACTAAAACACCAAAAGAAACCTTATGAGTCGGTCTGCACCTTTAATTTTGCTTCGAAACACCATGTCCTTACCTTAATTCAACCCTCTTCTTCAGTTCAATAAGCAGGCCACGTCATCATCTACGTTTCACAAGAATTCATCATAACTTTGGCAGCTACTGCAAGGTTTTCAAATTTCTTTTGAGACAAGGTGAAAGCATATTGATTTTAAAACTTCAGTCCAAACAAAACTAGATGTCAAAATCAACATTGAGATGCTTCTAAAGATAGTTGCCCCTCCTAACACTTCCCCGTTATCTCCCACCCCCTCCCCCACCCCACCCCACCAAGAAAAAGAAACCAAAAAGAAAAAGGAAAAAGATTATTCATAATGAGTTGAGGCAGATAGCCCCTTATCCGAAAGGCCAACTGCCGATTGCTATCTTTACTGGGAACTGGTGGATAATGAAACAACCTGTAAAACAGCTTTAGCACTGCAAACAATGCTACAGCTATATCACCATCTCAACTAAGAAATAACGATCATTTTCCTTTATTGGCTGAAGATATTCCTGTGGGAGTTCTAGCTCAGATTAGTCCACACACTCATGGAACAATGCCAAGTCCTGCTAACGGAGCCATACAAGTTGGCTGACTGACTGGTGACTTGACAATAAGGAAATGAGTTGTATGTTTCTGAAAGCCAGCTAGAACCATTAGCAAAGGCTAACTAAGAGTGAAAAAATTCTTCACATGCTAGTGACACAAGAAAAACATATAACGACACTATGAGAAGTAAATTATTGCACTTGATAGAAGAAATTGACAAACAAGAAAACTCTAAGCTACTAGAACTTCAGTTTAATTGACCTCTTGTTTAAATTTTTCTGATGATCCCTTTCATACTAAAAGAAAATGTGAATACATTATCTTTAGCTAATGACAACCACTGGTTAGTCTAATTGATGCATCATTAGAAAACAACACAATATGAGTTTGCTCCAGCATACAGTATCTACATCTGATATATCTTCCCACTTAGTAGTAACTAACACGGCAAATCCCACTTGCCACTGGCCTAATCAAGGAATACGGTTTGGTTTAAAAAAATAGACTGTCCTTTGATACTGATTCGTCGCTTTTACTTCTTGTTCCTTGTGCTGCTCCATCTAGTGGTTCCTATGGGGACGGGTCACATTATACTCTGCCCTTTTGGTGGATATATTCGCCCAACTGGCTCAACCCCACCACACCTTTCCTCCTGCTTATAAGGAGCTCCTTTCATGGTATCTTTCCCATACCGCCCCCTTGACTCCAGTAATCTTCGGTGAGGAAAACAGCCCATCTTTTCCCTTGCATCCTTTTTGCAAGTTTCAACTTACTCTCCCTTCCTTTCTATTCAGGCACCGACATACTTCTTTAACTTTCAGCCTGTCATTCTCCAGAGCTTCTCAAAAAATCCTCCGATTTCATTTGCTGTACTTAGATTTTCAGTAATGGCATCCAATTCTCTCACTTCTTCACGTAGCTCTAGCTCCTCCTGGACACCTAAGCAAAACAAATTGTTCGAAAAGGCTCTGGCTAAATATGACCAGGACACTCCTGATCGCTGGCATAATATTGCTAAGGCTGTGGGAGGAACGTCAGCTGCGGAAGTCAAGCTGCAATATGAGATCCTAGTCAAGGATCTCAAAGACATTGAGTCTGGCCGGTACCCATATTCATATCCAAGTGGGAGCAGCAATTAAAGCAGTGAGTATACAAAATAGAGGTAATGTGCTAGTTACTTTATACCACTCAGTAATGGACCCAATAAATAATCAGCTGACATCCAAAACCACTTTCCGCGAGTATTTACAACTCTATTTAGTTTTCAATATTTGCAAGTTATCCACAAGCACTTCAGATAACCAAGAAGTGAAGGACAATGTAAATGAATGAATTTCACATTCCTAATGATGTGCTTTCATTGTTTTTTGCAATAAATAATAGTTTTGCGTTAAAAGAAAAAATGATTCTGAGATTTATCTATGACAGGGTATCCATGAAGTATATCCTTCTCCTTCCAGCTCCATACACCCACAAGAACTCTTACTCTTAGATCACCGCCAACACCAATTCCTTAAACAGTGAAAACTGAAGTCCCCTAGTGGGTCCATAGAAGAATCCTGAAAGTGGGGAGAGTGCAGATTTTTTTTTTTTTTGTGTGGTCCATCAGTTGTTTTTCTTTTCCTACGGAGCATTAGGCCACCATCCTGCTCACCTTACTGCCTATCAAGTTATCATTTAATTAATGTTTTTCCTGACGAAACTTCTTGGAACTACACACCTGTCTCTGAGCCAAACAAAGCCCACATGAAATCTAATCTTACCCTTTTTGGATAGCATGCCAGTGGTTTCATAAATTAAAAGTTCAAACAATTCCCATGTGAATATCAGAATACAAAAAAAATACTGCCTTCTTTTGTTTGATTTGAATGAGGAGTCACTTGCAAAAACTGAACTCAATGGTTTACAATTTTTATTCTCTCTATCTAAGTCACTTGAAACATTTTTTAATAATTTTCTGTATTTGTCTTTGCACACGACAAAACCAATTGCTTTCCAACCTATCTGAAACTATTGGCTCCATTATTACCTAAACTGATAATGTTTTAATGTTTTTTTTTCCTTTGAATCCTCAAAATTTGTGTTTCTGTCGTAACTCTTTGGATATGGGTTCAAGGTTTTCAATGGGCTATATAAAATACTAATTAAAAGTCCTTTTCTAAAGTCTAACCTGTTATATTTGTCTTGCAGGTTCGCTGAAGAGTCAAAGGCTATATATAGGTGAAAGAACGTGAAGCAACCAGAGACCTCAGTCCTCAATTGCCAGAAAGACTAGCCTAGCAGAATATTCCCTACCAACAAAAGTTCAAAAAATTGGAATTATTCCCCGCTGTAATACTGTATGCTGTTATTACTCTTTGCTCTTGTATCTCTTTGTATTCTCCTTTTACCCGTGTCTAGTGAAAATGTCAACTATTGTATTATCGATATATAATTTGCTTGTTTACAAAAAATTATTAAGTTAAAAATAGAAAAAAACCAGCCTACGTTTGAATTACAATTAAAAGATAAGCAGTAAATAATCCAAAGAAAATTCCATAAATGAGCCAAAAGAAAACTACTATTTAGGTGATCGTTGAAGAGAAATTGGAACCTGGTTAACCGCTGGAGAAGCAATCCAGTCGACAACCCGTTGATCTTGCAAATCAGCTAACATGAATCCAAGTAAAAATTAGTACAAAAAATTGCTTAACGACAAACAAATATTAACACTGTAATCATATTTGGATGGTTCGTGATCAAACATCGAATTTTATAAAGGAGAAATTCAAACAGTTTCTTCAATTTCCGGTACAAATGCCCAAAAGAGTAACGAAAAGGAAAATTAAAGTTTCTGATCTCTGACCTGATCATAGATGTCCATTTTCAATTTCGATTCTCGATCATTTCCTAAAGCGATCGGGTTTCTACTGTAAAGAGGAGTCTGCTGTAATCGTTATGAAGGATTTCGAGAGAAACGGAAACGACGGGAAGAAAAAACGTTAGAGAAGGGAATTGAAATTCTAAATGGACCGAAATTACGGTTAAGCGAAAATTTGCGCAGAGAGTGAGGGGACGTAACCTTACGGATTTTTGTGGCGGGAACTAGTTTTCTCGAACTTTTCCTTTTTCGTGCCAATGTTAGAAATTTAAAACGCCTTTGCATTTAAAAATAATAATAATAAAATGAAATATAAACCGGTATCCGCTGGAAAAATACTACTCTTTTGTTTTTTTATTCATTTTTTTATATATATCGCAATATGAAGTTCTTTTTTAGATATTTAATACTATTATCTTTCTATATTATTAAATTATTTTCATAATTTCTGTTTTTATATTAAAAATATTTTTATCATAAAAAATAATATAAAATAAATCAAAATCAAAATATTTATTTTAAACTCTAAAATATTTAAATAAAATAAACATTTATAGTCAAAAACAGAGAACGTAATAATACTTAAGATAAGTTTTTTTTTTATTTTCATGTATATAAAGCATACACTTATGCTTAAAAATGTGTGTACATTTAAAAATGATTAATCTTAAATTAAAAATTACATGATTTTAATTTTTAACTTATTAAAAGTTATCATTGTAGTTTGAGCCTTATTTTAAAAAAATAAAAAATCTTTATCAAGTTCAATTCAGTATAAAAGAAAAAGTGAAAATTTGATGAACTCAAGCTTAAAACAGGTTAAAAACTCCAAAGTGGTGCCCCCAAAAAGCCCAATAATTATATCAGCTTTAAAATTATATTATTTACTTAATCTTAATTAAAATTCGCATTGTGCTATAAAATATAGTAGTAATATCTTTTATCTTATATATATATTACAGTATAAAAGTTTTAATCTATGGTCATGTAAAATTTTTTTTTATAATAAACCTAATTTATCAGAGAAAAAAAGAAAAATCATTTAAACTTTGATTAATGGTAAAAAACTTGATTAATGTTAAGCAGGTTTACAAGTCTAGTATGTGTATTAAAATTACTAACAACAAAATAAAATCACTTGACATTTTTTTTTCTTAACTGTTGCATGTGTAATCTCATATTATTATTTTGGTACTCATCATTTCCATTTGTCATCAAAGTAATTCATCTTAAATGGTAAAGTGAATAAATTTTCACTTGTCACCACTTAGCTAGTTTAACTTAGAATAGTAGGATTGAAATGTTCGAGTTATTTCCTTCCTTTTTATCACTAAAATAAAATATTGTTTTCATTTACTAGTCTCCAATATGCTCTAATATACATATAATGTAGTTTTGAGTTTAAATCAGATTTTTATATTATACTCATTCTGTCTTATTATGTTTATCTCTTACTGATATTTTTAGTAAAATAAATTTAATTTTGATAAAAAATTTTAATAAAATCATAAAGTTATAAATGACATTACAATTTTTGAATTTTTAAACTTTTTCAAACATATTTTTTAACTTTTAATTATGTCTATATTTTTAAAATAATAATCAAAATTGAATTCAATTAATCATAAAAATCAAACAAAGACAAATAAAATGAGACGAATATAGTATCAATAATCTTAGTCTATCCAAGCTCTAACCTAACTATAGAAATATGTACATAATAAAATGAATATAAATCAGATTTACACTAATAAATATATTTATATATATAATCTCTATTTAAAAAAAAAGCTTGGGCCCAATGCTGACCTTGAAGCCCAAAATCTTACCCTTAGGAACCCAATCTAATCCATCAAGAGTACCAAACCCGTCCAAATGTACAGTATAATGAAAAAAGGGACAGTATTGGGTGAAAAACAGGTTAGAGAAAGATACAATATGATAAAATCAAATATGAATTTTTAAATAAAAAGCATACCAATCAACTATTAATTTCATGATAATAAATAATAAAATAAAATTAGTATTAATTAATTTTAATATAAAATGTTAAAATAGATTTTAATTTTATTATTTTTTGTATAAATAAAATTAATTATTTTATTTTTATATGATAAATATAATATGCTTATGCAAATATAACTTAATTAAATAATTATTCAAAGTAATTTAAAATATATTATACAATTGAAAAATTATATATTGATTTTAAAGAAAAAGTAAACTCTTATGGAGTAAACTCTTGTGAAGTCTTAGTTGATTATATCAACGATAAAGTGATTATTTCATCTAAATTCTTAATTAAAGACTTAATAAATCATAGTAACCATTTGACAAAATGCTTAAAATAATACTTATTAATTGATGTGAGTAAACATGTAGTAATAAGTGTATGGTCTAATTGAAACTTTTTCAGAAGTAATTATTGGTAGCAATAATATTTTTTTACCGAATTAGAATAAATAATAGTACAAAGAAAAAGCATACACGCTTGTCGGGTCGGTTCTTGGCTTGGATTACTCTCCAAGCAAATGCCCGTGCCGTGGGGTCAAATTTCAACCGTTTAAACCCTAGCAACCAGGGTTTATGCTCGCGCGCTTGTACCCGTCTCAGAAAACTTGTTTTCTTAATCCCCTTCTTCCTCTCCTTATGATCCGAATTCCAATCCCAACTCATTGGTAATCACACCATTGACTTAAACATTTAGTAGTTCTTTTGCTTAATAATCCATGGCTGCTTCTAGATTATCATCTTGCGTAGCATTAGCAGCCGCCGCCGCTGCTTCCGCCTCCACTCTCCAGAACCGCGCGTATGCTGATTCGCCATTTCGGTTCCCTCCGTTCTCCTCATCCTCTTCTTCTACTCCCTCGGTTTCGCAGACGGAGCAATCATCAAATGCGAAACCGGAGCCCGATGAGCCCAAAGGAGCAGGGTTCGATCCAGAGGCTCTTGAAAGAGGCGCCAAAGCTCTTCGAGAGATTAACAACTCTCCACATGCCAAACAGGTAATTATGTACATTTAATTGCCTTTTATTTTCTTTTTGAGACAAGAAGGAAAGAAAAATAGATTTTGGTTTGTTTTGTTGCCTGGTTTAGATACTTCGCAAAATAAATAAATAAAATTCGATTGACTGCGGATTGAGTGGGTAATCGAGTCTTTTAGAATCAATTGAGTTGCTGATATGAAAATTTGCTTTTGTTTTGGATTTTCAGGTTTTTGATCTTATGAGAAAGCAGGAACAAACTCGGCTAACAGAGGTATCAGCTGAGAAAGCTCATTATGAAGCAATTCAATCACAGGCTGATATCGTGAGTGATAAGCTAACCCTTGCATGGCTTCAATTGACTTACTCTCAGTCTATAGTTCTATTCCTTGTGTTGTAATACAGCTCGTACACACACTTGTTTGATTTTAACTCATACTATGATCATCACATTGGCAGGACAGGCAGCGGAAGTTGGCTGAAGAGCAACGGAATTTAATGCAACAACAAGCTCAGGCAAAAGCACAAATGCTGAGATATGAAGATGAGTTGGCCAGAAAAAGAATGCAGGTGAAAATGGCTGCTTTACCTATATGCTCATTTTACTCTATGTTAGTTTTACAAAAAGAGTTCTGTCTTTGACCCAGCAAGTACTACCCTGTGAAGCAGTACTTACATTGCGGTCTACTAGTAGAAAAAGTCACCGGCGTGCCTCTGGCATTGGTCGGTAATATCTAAAAAATGGATAACATATTTTAAGCATGCGAACTTTATTATAAACTATCTTTATTGAATCCTACTATATTGAAACTTTGATCAGATTGGCTTAAGAGATATGTCTTTTTGTGTAACGGAACTGACTGATGTATGAGACTTTGGTTTTGACTTTTCAATTAAAAGTGCCTCTTCTCTCCCCTTTTAAGCATCCAACTGGTTAGAACTCTTCTATCAAACTTTTATATTTAACATCTTATCAATTTTTGCAGACAGATCATGAAGCTCAGAGGAGACATAATGCTGAATTGGTTAAGATGCAAGAAGAGTCTTCTATCAGAAAAGAACAAGCAAGACGAGCTACTGAGGAGCAGATACAAGCTCAACAACGACAGACGGAGAAAGAGAGGGCTGAAATAGAGCAGGAAACTATAAGAGTTAAGGCCATGGCTGAGGCGGAGGGACGGGCTCATGAGGCAAAATTGACGGAGGATCATAAGAGGCGAATGCTAATAGAAAGGGTGAATGGAGAAAGAGAGAAATGGCTTGCTGCAATTAACACAACTTTCAGTCACATAGAAGGTACATGACATTTTTAGCATTCTTTGTCCTATTGGCATCTGTCCTCTATCTTTATGGTAATATTTTCTTAAACTGAAATTTACAGGGGGTTTTAGAACTTTATTGACGGATAGGAATAAGCTGCTTATGACTATTGGAGGAGCTACTGCATTAGCTGCAGGAGTTTACACTACAAGGTATTAGTACTCCCTTTTTTGTTGCTTTCAACAGAAGTTTGGTTTAGTTGAATATTCTATATGAAGCTTTTCCTGTATCCCCTTCCCCTCTTTCCCCCCTGGCTTTGGTGTTATTCTGCCGTTATGTTCACATTCTCTATATTTGGAAACAAAATTGCTAGTTTGCTTTATTGAAATTTGTATCATGAAAAGCTCATTTCAATGCTTGAGGTACTGGAAAGAAGTTTTTTTGTGCTCCTACCATCCATGGTCCTATCAGGCATTGATCATCTGGGTGGTATGGGCGGTTTTTGGGAGTGTGTAGCTGTGTTGGATGTTGGCACCATGTTAGCATCACGTTGGCTGTGTTAAAAATATGTTAGAAACACATGTGAACATTATATTGAGAGAAGCAATAATCTGTTCTATGACTCGGCAGTACTGCCACATCTGACAGCCCCTTGAACTCTGCCATCACCACCTTCTGTTTTGGCTGGAATAACCGTAATAATCATTTTGGCAATTTTTGAG